GGGCTGCTGTGATGTGTTAGTGGAGCGTGTGACCACTGCATCAACAGCCGGTCTCTGTGCTGTCATAAACGCGTCTCACAGGCATTTAAATCATTCTCGGCTGTCACTGATCTCATGTGCCATCTGCCAGAGCCACCCCCCCCCCCTCCTTCAGCAAGCGAGACGCGTGTTTGGCTTATTGTCCGCCTGTAATGAGCTCTGAGCACATATTAGCATGACTGCATAAAAAAAGGTGTTTTCCTTGAGTAAATAGCATGCATATTAAATTATGCTTTAGGCAACAAGGTGCAGGACATACAGAAATGTAGAATAATTATGTTTGTTAATTAAAGCTTGTGTGTTTCAGATCTGATACTCCAGAGTGATCTGTATATCAACTCTGAAATTAAAGCTGTATGCTTGCCTGTGTGTTGCCTGTAAGCTAACAACCACATCCTCATATTTAATATTCAACACTCCCTCAGCAATCTGCATAATACTATCTTCCATGTTTGAGAGAATGAATTATAGGGACTGTTGTGGGATCTCAACAATATCATGTGTTGACCAATGGGAGATGAATGACCACTCTGTTCAGAATAACCAGAACAACACTAATGTAGCCTTTGAATATGTGTCACATTCAATGGCCACAGTCGGTATGCGCATTTGAATATGTACGTACGCAGGCATGTAGTCATTTACAAACCAAGCCTCAACAAACTACTTGTCTGGCTTTAAAAAATATAATGCAGAATTATTTAGCGCTTCCGCGTAGCTACGTGAACCGTAATTATACCGACAACATTGTATCTGTACATAGATAAAGGGAAGGGAAGGAGGCCTTTACAGGGTGGACTAGTTCAAACTTCAGGACTGCATCGTTGTCATGTCCAGTTGCAGGTCCTTCATTGATCTAGATACGGCCTGGATCCGGCGGACTGTGGTAAACCTGTGGTAAAACCAGAGAGACTAATATTTGTGTTGACTCCATCCTTCTTATTATGTAACGAGTTCATCAAGAATTATGGGAAGTGTTCCCGGTTCCGGCTGACCTAATCTATGCAGCCTAACAATGTATTATAGAAGTCTAAAATGTGTTGTGTATGCTAGGTCAAAGTGTTGTGTTTTTAGTGTCTGCATCCTGGACAATGTTAGGAAGACTGTTCCAATTTTTTGGTGCTGAATAGGATCAACCACCACTAATAGCATTACAATAATCTAGCCTTGATGTCATGAACGCATGAACCAATTATTTCACATTTGTCAATGAGAGCATATGAGGTAATTTAGATATATTTCCAAGATGAAAAAATGTGTTTCTACTGATACTAGACACGTAACTTTCAAATGAAAGATAGGTATCAGAGCACACCCAGGTTCCTAACCGACAACGAAGACTTGTCAGAGCAGCCATCAAGTGTTAGACAGTATTGTAGGTTATTACTTGAGGAAAGTTTTTTTTTTTTTCATAATTAATTAGTAGCATATGATTAAACCATGCTATTGCATGGTTTAAATCAGGATTCCACTAATGCCAACATAATTTTTGTGTCTATTTAAAATAATTTTGTTGTCGATGGTATCAAATGCAGTAACAATAATAGAGAGATACGACCACGATTGGGTCTAAAACCTGACTGAAAATCCTCGCAGATACCATTTCTCTCTAAAAAGGAACACAATTGTGAAGATAATGCATTTTCCAGTATCTCTGGCAGAAAAGATATATTCCAAATTCGGCCTGTAATTTACTAATTCTGTAGGATCAAGTTTTACAACAAGTTTTAACAAGCGTTTTTTTTTTTTTTTTAATTATTATTATTATTTATTTATTTATTTATATATTTTTTTTTATCATAGCCAGCTTAAAAGTTTTTGGTACGTATTTTAATGACAAAGATGAATTAATGATATTGATAAGAGGATCTATGACCTCTGGAAGCATCTCTTTCAGTAGCTTAGTCAGTATAGGGTCTACATACATCTTGTCTATTTAGATGATTTAACAAGTTTAGAATTCTTTGTCTCCTATAGCAATGAATGAATCAAATTTTTCCTCAAGAAGACAATGCACTGCCTGATGCAGTACTGTAGTTGGCGGTTGCATAGTTATAATTTTCGCCCTGATATTATCAATCTTGTAAGTAAAGAAGTTCATAGTCATTACTGCTGTGCTGCTTGGAAACGTCTGGGCCTGACTGAAGATTTATTTTTCGTTAATTTAGCCACTGTTTAAAAAAAAAATACCTAGGGTTGTGTTTATTTTCTTCTAATATTGTTGAAAAATATGGAGATCTAGCAGCTTTTAATGTCTCTCTGAATGTAGTCGTGCTCTCTTTCCATGAAATGTGAAAAAACTTTGTTTTCTTCCTGTTGTGCTCCATTTCTCTTAAGGGCCTGAGTGTGCTCGTTGTTGGACTATTTTCTTTAATCTTCTTTAAGCACAAAGGAGCAACTGTGTCTAAAGTGCTGGACTATAGAATATTAGATCTAGAGTATGATTATGACAAGGAGTTGGTCACATGACACATGTTGTCTAACTCCAATAGAGTTCAGAAGAGTCCAGAATGAGGAGAAATGCAGAGAGGATAGGGGATAATTTTGTTCTGCTTTGTGGTCTGGTTTAAGTGCTTGCAGAAGAGGTGTGTCTTCAGTTGTTTATGTAAAGATGTGATGGTCTCAACAGTTTGGTGGAGGTTTACAGATCATTCCACCAGAGAGGAGCAAAAAGGGTAAAAAGAATGAAAAGTGACTTACTGCGTTGTGAATGAACGAAAAAGCATCACTTATTCAGTGATCATAGCTGACATGAGGAACTTGTACTCTTAAGTCAGGTTAAAGACCTCTTTCCTCCCCTTTGTTTTATATATATATATATATATATATATATATCATTCATTCAGTCATCACATCAGTCATTTGTAGGTGCCCTATGGCGTTCAGTTTGACTGGCTCCTTCATGCAGTCTTTTGTGTCTTCGTCTGACAGTCTTCATGCATGTCTTTGTCGATCATGTGACACGGGCCCAAATTATCTTCACTGCTAATCAGTCACTATTCTTTAAACTAATTAATTATTTTAATTCTGATTATGTGATGTAGAAGCCCACGCAGAGATGCACAAGAGAACCAGATGAGACTCATCAGCTGGGGGGTGGGGTGGGGTGTTTTGGGTAGCTTTCACCACCACCGCTGGTGAATGAGGTTTAATTGAGATAAGCCATAATCAATGGTTCATATCCTCTAGGTTTTTGTTTTGTTTCTTGATTGAGACAGGTTTTTTGATTGATTGATTGATTGTGATAGGTAATTTAAAATCTTGGAAATTATCAAAAGTTCACACATACATACATGTGTCACAGCTTTCATGCGTCTTGATATGCTCCTTATAATTTTGTCACATGGCTGTTGAACGACTATGGCACTCTTGGCGAAACAATTCAAGCAGCTTGGCTTTATTTAATGGGTGGCGAGCAACCATCTTCCTGCTGATCACATTCAAGAGGTTATATATATATATATATATATATACACTACCGTCCGGTCAAAAGTTTTAGATCAGTAAGATTTTTTTTATGTTTTTAAATGAAGATATTTAATTTAATCATACAAGCAAAAATGACATATGCTTAATAATATGAAGGACACTATACAGTATAATGCATTAAGATCATGATTGGATGGGCCGCGTTCAAATGATTTGCACTACCATTCAGAACTGTTTTCTATCATAATATATTTTAAAATGTTATTTATTCCTGTGATGCAAAGCTGAATTTTCAGTATCATTTACTCCAGTCTTTATATACTTTCCTATAGGGAAAAATGAATTTTCCCCCAGGCAGTTTATAACACAATGGTTCATTTAATACATGACGGAAAATGTCCTTTAACGCCTCATCATTAAAGTCCACTTGGTTGGAGATTTCCAGAAATTCAAAAACATAGTTCTCAATAGTTCTGTTACCTTGACGTAGGCACAGTAGGGCAACTGCTGGGTTCATAGTTGCAGGTCAAGTATTCTGTAAAGGATCCACTGGAGGCAAGTATAGATGAGAACCCAAGTGCAGTTTATTCAAAATAACAGGTAAAAAGATCAAAACATAAACCAAAGCATGACATGGCATGGCATGAAAACGTGGACATAAACTTACACAACCAGTGGTTACAGGAAACAATACTTGACAGAGCACATGGCAAACATGAGGTTTTAAAAACACAGACTAATGACAAGACAAGGGACGCCTGTGAACAATGAACAGACAATTAACCAATGACAAGACACTTGGCAGGATCACATGACAAACAGGTAATCACATGGCAGACATGAAACATGACATGAACAAACCGAAACATGACAGAGACAAGACTAAATCGTGACAGTTTCAAAGCAGCTTTACAGTGATAACAGTTTGTTTCTGTTGTACAACAGGTTCAGAGGCAAGGAAAAAAAAAGTTATTTAGTTAATATATATATATATATATATATATATATATATGATGTGATGTGATGTGATGTCATTGTCCAGCTCAGTTCAGTTATCATATAATGGTGTCAGTGCTGGCAGATCAATAATATTGTTAGATATTAAATGTCCCCAACTAAGCAAGCTAAAAGCCAGAGGTGCAATGTGTCACATGGTCCTCCAGAAATTGTTTCAATATGCTCTTTTTGCTGCTCTAGAAACATTGCTTTTTACAGGGTTCCCAAAGGTCCTTGAAATCCTTGAAAGTTTGTGAATCTGATCAAAAACCATGAGCAGCTGTAGTGATGTGGTTAGATTGTGTTACTCTAAACCTCTGATGTGAAAGACAGTACAGACATCTCATCTGAACACAAACACATTATTGCCACATTTGTTGTGTATGTGTTATTTCATGAGTAGTTTAGCTTTGCTGATGGTGTTGTCATGTTACAGGGTTTCTATGTCTATACACACTGTTGGAAATCAAAGCTTTCTTTTTTTTCCATCACATTATGTTGGTGTTGTAGCTCACCTTCCTTTTTCCGTCCAACAGGAAATGGCCAAAATCCTTAACAACCCGCGAGTCTACGCCTTCCTCCATGTGCCTGTCCAATCAGCATCTGACAGCGTCCTGATGGACATGAAGAGAGAGTACTGCTGTGCCGACTTTAGACAGGTCATGGACTTCCTTAAGGAGAAGTGAGTACCTACAGTTACCTACTAATTGTCAGCGTCCCTTCATGATGGACACTTGACTTGCACTTCCGATCATATGTGCATTGATAACCAGACAGAGAAATGCTTTTTATTCTTGTAATGTAATCTTTACTCTGTGTGACGTTTGTCATCCATGTGTTGAATGCTGGGTAATGGTGTATAAAGTGAGCACTACACTCAATAGTATAGATTAAATCTTGACATTTTGCAAATGTCAGTTTTTATGAGTCTGATAAGCTCTTCATTACTGTTTATGATTATTGTGCTCGAGTGCATTTGTTGGAGAGCAAATCAATGAGTCTGAAACACTGAAACATGTATATGCGTATGGAGGAAATGATCGAGGCCACTACAGATATCGATGTGTGTAGTTGAAAGGCATTCCATGACATTCATAGAAAAAGTTTTTAAGGCAGAAATTCACGTTACCTTTCATTTGCTTACACTATTCTCACTCATTTGGTATAAATCCCAATTTTATGTGTAATTTTTATGTATTTCGAGCTGCAACATAAACAAGGGCTCAAACACCAGCGTTCAATGAATGAAAAATGCTTTATTTACTTTAACAAATATAACAATAACCATAACAATAACAAACATAAGTCGAGGTAAAACAAAGAAACAAAGAAATAACACACAAGCCCCTGCCCTTTTCGCCTCAAAATGTATTGTGCCCTTTTCTGATAATTGTATACAATAATAATTATTACTATAAATAGTGCAAAATAATGCCTGTAATTGTTGGTTTGGTGTATTTGAGTGCTCAAATGAATAAGCGCAACGATTCAGGGAGCAAATCTGCTTTCTTCATCCCTCTGTCTGTGGTCCTGCGCTAATAATGCCTGTGTGTTTTTAGCAATTGATTTTTTTTTTTTTTTTTTTTTTTTTTATTGTTATTTTGTCTCTGGGTGAAGGCATTAAATAAGCCCAGTTGGGTTTTTTTGCCTCTTCCTGCACATCATTAAATTTATGATATTTATCTTATTTATTTATTTATTTATTATTATCATTGTCCTTTTTTTGTTATAATTTTAAGGTGCAAAAATAAAAAGAGAGAAAGAGAGGGAGAGTGCTCAAATGAATTAGCGCAACGATTCAGGGAGCAAACCTGCTTTCTTCATCCCTCTGTCTCTGGCCCTGCGCTGTGCTCAGTGTGTGAGAGGGGGAGTGGCCAGCGGCAAGAGCGGCAAAAGCCAATGTGTGCTTCTTTTAGCAATAAATTTAGCGATATCTTTTGCATTTCTAATCCAAACAACGTCAAACTCGGCACTGCACTTACTCGTGCCCGTAGCAAGACAAATGTGAAGTTTGTGATGCATCGGACTAATGGTTCGAGAGATATGCGATAAACAGACACACAGACAGACAGACGTTCCTGTAATTTATAGATAGATTTTAATAAATAGCAATACACTTACTGTACACACCCTTGCATGCAATGGCAACATGCAAGTTATACTTAAAGGTTCTCTGAGCGATCCTGGGTGTTGACGTTCGGAATAATTTCAAACAAATCGGAGGCTAGCTAGACCCTCCCTCCTCCACATCTCATCTCCTCCCCCTCCCTTCCGTGCTTCTTGAAGTAATTGTGAGCGTGCATAGTTCTAGCAAATTATATCCTTGTGTGTGTTTGGCGAACATAAGCGTCAATTTAGAAGAAAAAAACAATTTAACGTTACCCACCTGTCCAGCAAAAACAGAGCAACCTGAATGTCGGACTGGAAGCCCTTCTGCCGCCGGAGTTCTCGCCATCGTTCAAAAGCTTTGCAACCGATGTAAATTTGGAACTTCGCACGTTCTTTATCCGACTTCTTCTTTTTAATTTGTTCTTCAGAACGACGTATCTTTGGTCGTGTCTTTGGCCATTTTTCAAACTTCCCTCTGATGCTTCGCTCACCTTCACACACACACACCCTTCATGTGCACGCGCACTAACCGCCCAGACCCACCCTCAAATACTTCTGGCCAGTGATTGGCTGGAACACTATTTGTTAGGTTTCGTGGTCCGGGTAAGACATGATTGTTTTTGTTGCCGTTTTCGGAGCCTGTGGTGTCTACAGAGACCGCGTTTTTTTACAGTGTGTTTAGGGGACAGGCAGCTAGCCGATAGTGAGGAGACGTTTGATGTATGTGACAAAAAATGTTTTTGGCCCCACATCGCTTAGAGAACCTTTAACTATAATAAAAGTATAACTCGATTTCAGACGCATTCTGAGTGACAATGTCATTCGTTTTTATCCAAGGCCATAGCAAGTGTTATTAGCTTGGGAAAATACATCAAGTTAAATGAAATCTTAAGTCCATGCCCAACTCTAAATTGTAAGAAATGTATATCTTTGATTTCATAGATACGCTTTACAATAAGGTTAATGTGTTCACTATTCATGTATGAACCATGAACACGCTTGTCACTGTATTTGTTAATCTTAGTTAATACAACTGTTAGGCTAATTGTTTTTTCATCTTATGTCACAGTCAGTGCATTAACTAATGATAACAAATACAAATTTTGATTTAAATGCTGAAATTAATATTAACTAAGATTAATAAATGCTGTAGAAGTGCAGCTCATTATTAGTTAAAGGGGGGGTTACTGCTTTTTGTCTTCGCATGATTCTGTTTATGGGTTGCAATATAACATGTATTTGTGGTTTTTCTTTTTTAAAAAGTCTTATTTTTCATAAACTTCACCTTTTTTGTAAGCCGCGCTCTCCTCTGTCCCCTGAACTAGCGGTTGACTTCCTGATTCTATGTAACCACTCCCTCAGAAACAGGCAGTGGGCTCAGATTGGTTAGTTTGGGCCGGTGTGTGGTGATTGGCTAAACTGTCGCTCACGTTGTCCGGAAGGTTAATGCCCATTACCTTTATGGGCGAAACGTGCCTGCGCTCCGGTCCAGATGTAAATAATGGTGTCGAACTGCAGTATCAGTTTGAGGCAGAATCAGACCGAGAAAGCGGCGATGAAGAGAGGCAAACAGAACCTCACCACACACGGCTCTTACTAAACGTTTCTGAATGATAATTTGCTACATTTTTAACTTTATACACGTTTGTTTAACACAATAGCATCTGACTGGCAACAATAGCAACTGACTGGCTGCTAATATTATACTCAAACAGCATTGGCATTAGTTTACTTCACGTTCTTGATCAAATTGAAAATAACGTCATAAAGCATATATACATGAAAAATATATTAAAAACATTAGTACTTATACAAAATTCAGGTCCATAATGTTTGTACGCGTTTGTCATAGACACAAAGTAGCATAACTAGTAGCCTAGTGGCTATAACGCAAGCACTGGCATTTGAAAAAAAAATAAAACACAAGGCTATGTCTGGAATTATACATGCAAATACATTTAAAATGATTAAGTCTTAGCCTACTTACAGGTTGTGGCCCAACAACTGCTGCCTCTGGTTTTAAAGTTTGAACTGCTTCATGTTTTAGTAACAGTTTCTTTTTGAATCCGGTGTTGAAATCGTGGAGATTCTGGAAGCTGTCTTCCGTAAAATGCGCAGCACAGAGAGCTAAATTGCTAAATCTGCTTACACTGAACTTTCAGCGCTGCAACTTTGCAGATACTGTTCATGCACCAACAGTAACATTACACACTATTTAAAATGAAAAAAGTGAAATCGCAATCAACCCCCCCTTTAAATGTTAACTAATTTAACTAATGAAACCTTATTGTGAAGTGTTACTGATTGATGATAGCGAACACTTTCATTCATATAATAAATATTAAATTTGCAACATCAACAAAACTAAAAATTAATTTTCCATAATTACCTTCTTGATTCTCACTGTTTTGTTTGGTAAATAATATTTAGTAATATTATCATCATTTCCCTATTTTCATTTGATCTGTTATGCATTCTAATTGCATCAACATATTTATTTATTTTTTGTCCAAGGAAAGAAAGAATAAAAAAAAAAAAAAAATAGTGCCCTTTTTGGTCCCTCTGCCCCTGCCCCTGATGAGCTCTGTGCACACCACTGCTCACAAGTACAGCTAAGCCAGTACACAGAAACGCATACTCAAACATACAAACAAACTAATAAACAGAGAGGACAGGGACAGTCCCACCCAGTGGTTGTTATGACGATGGATATATTCTGTCTGTACAGAGGTGCACATTTGTCTACTTGTTTCTATGATGTCATCAGAAGGATAAAGGGTCTTTCTTGTTCAATTTTAAAATTGTGCGATACATGGTGCGTTGAAAGTTTAGTGGCGATCGGGTCAAAGTTGCTGTAGTTTTCCTCGTAGAGGACACATCCATGCCCATCACTCATTTTTAAGAGCCTAGAGCGGTCAGGGTCAGTCGTCTGTAGGGAGCCCCAGTGATGGGTCTTATCTTTTACACAGACACCGTCTGACCCTTATACCCCAGACACACAGCGCTCACTTTACCAGCAGCTGTGCCCCAGTGGTCAGACTCCTGTTTCCTTATCAAGTGGCACAGAGTTGTTTCAGACGACTCGACACGTAATTTCTGCTCACAGCAGAACTTTTGGCAATAGCGCTGATGTCAGAGACTTGGGAGATCTCTGAGGTCTTGTCCGACAGCTGTGGTGGATTTGGGAGCGTATAGGCAAACATTCTCACATAACACAGAAGGAGTTTGGTTCCTGGGTGAGAAAAGGATGGATGAGAAAATGAAACTGATTTGTTCCTATGTTTAGCCTGCTAATGAATCTTTTGTTTTGCTGGAATGAAGATTTACCATTCCAACCTGTTTGCTGGATCATATGGATTGCACTGGTTCCTGGATAAGACTCTGCCAAACTTTGCGTTTCGCACCTGGGTTGCCAACAAACCCCATTTATTGCTTCCTTTGAACTTTGCTTCCTTTGCTTCCTTTGAGTCATTTTAATACAATTTTCTCAATTTGAAGTCATCAGCTCCGCCATCCTGTCAGTTTGTCTGAGAGGTATTTGAGCCTCAGTGAGTAGGACTCCTAAAAGCCCAA